CACCTCAGTCAGGTGCAAGGCTTGCGAGGGGTGGAGTCACCTCAGAGTCTGCTCAGGATTACGGACACATCGGCAGTGGACCACGTCGTTTGTGGCCCCCTGCTGCTCAAACACACATGAAGCTCCTTCAATTTAACTGCAACGGGTGTCAGAGCAAGATCGAGGAGATAACCGTCTTTATGGGGAGGCATGGTATACTGATAGCTGCGGTCCAAGAGACGAAGTTGCACAGCAATTCAACATTGTTGAGTTGTGCCGGGCACAACGTGCACCGTCGAGATCGCGAGCGAGATAATGGTGGTGGCTTAGCGTTCATCACGCACCACACCGTGCAGTATCGTCTTATCGAAGCCGACATCGACCGCAGGTATACCACCCTAGAATGTCAGGGTATTTCTATCCGGTCAGGCGATGTTGAGCTCGAAATATTTAACGTGTACATACCCCCTGTCACCTGCTGCCCGGCAGGATATCACCCTGATATAGGTGCGCTCCTCAGAGGTGAAAACCGTATGGTAGTATGAGACTTTAATGCACACCACGATCTTTGGCACTCAAGCCTGTCAAACGATCGTAGGGGAACTGACTTGGCTGAGCAGACATACGATTCTACATTATGCACAATTAACGACGACGCACCCACCAGGATGATGGGCAGCTGCTCCAGCTCGCCAGACATAGCAATAGTCAACGCTGGTCTGATAAACAGCTTATCATCGCGACCTATGCTGACATTGGTATAAGACCATCTGCCCATAGTCATCACGATCGATAAGCCAACCGAATTTGCTTCCGCGGAACACCGGACATATATCAACTTTTCTAAAGCTGATTGGATAGGCTTCGCGGAATTTACTGAAAATGCCTTCGCTGCTCTCCCCACACCAACCGACGACCACCTTGGTGAACGTAAGTTCCGCAGGGCTGTCACCGCTGCTGCAGCTCGCTTCGTACCGGCAGGATGCATTACGGACCCACGTCCAAATTTCCCTGCCGAAGCGGCTGTTCTAGCAGATGAGCGTGAGCGATGCACCAGCTATTTTAGCCAGCAGTTCATCCTGCATCCTCCGGGGGACAAGCCAAGCGTCGAGTGACCAGAAGGCTGCACAAACTGCCAACAACTTGTACCCCCCTTGCTTTCGCTTGCGGTGAAGTTCAGGTGGCCATCGGGAAGGCGAAAGCCTCCAAAGCAATGGGTCCCGACGGAATATGCATGCTGATGCTGAAAAATTTGGGTCCTCAATTTGTCAACGGCCACTGTCATCATCCCAGACATCTGGAAGTTGGGGAAAGTGGTCCCACTGCTCAAACCGGGCAAACCTGCAACAAGTAGATTCGTATCGACCGATAACACTCCTTTCCCAGGTAGCGAAGACACTTGAGGCCTTGCTGCTCCCGTATTTCACGAACCACCTGACCCCAGCGAAGCATCAGCATGGTTTCCGTAAAGTGCACAGTACAACAACAGCACTTAACGCCATAAACACTCAGATAACTCGTGGCCTTAACCGTAACCGTCCCTGTGAGAGAACGATTCTAGTAGCGTTGGACCTGTCAAAGGCTTTTGACACTGTCAGCCAATCCACGCTACTAGAAGATATAGAGGCTTCCTCTCTCCCACAGAGGCTCAAACGGTGGTCGGCAAATTATCTGAGTGGTCGACACTCGTCGGTAATGTTAAGAGACAAATCGGGTGGTGTCCTTTCCCCGCTACTGTTCAACTTTTATATTTCAAAGCTCCCTCAACCACCAGAGGGAGTCTCGATTGTCTCCTACGCCGACGATTGCTCGATCATGGCTACTTCTTCACTGCAAAGTGTGTAGCTCTCTCCCCTACCAAATCCTCTGCGACCTTGTTCACCACCTGGACGAAGGAGGTCAGGCTACCGCTGGGAATTCACGTCGATGAAGAACACCACCTTCATGACGAGGTGAAAATGCTCCCAGTCAAGGAGCCACAGATGTGGCCACCCAAACAGACAGCTGCTTGCAGAGGAGCCCTCGCCTAGGCACGTCAAGAGGCATCTCTAAGAACTGACGGACGAAGTCCAGAGGTTCATTAAGGAGCCTCTGGACCTGTCAGCATACCGACAGGCCCTGAACGGCATTCACAGGGAGTCAGTCTCCAGTTATGTAGACTCCAGACCTGTGAATGCCGTTCTAGGCACACAACCACCGGACATCGACGAGGCGGAGCTTCCTCTGCCTCTGGCTACTGCAGCAGGTTAAACTCATACCTGAGCACCTAAACGCGGATGTGCCAAATGAGTGTCCGGCATGCGGAGAGACCCCTCACGACTCGAAACATCTCATCGCCTGCCCGGAAAATCCGACGACCCTAACGGCTTTGCCCTGTGAACCGACCCAATGCAGGCTGCACGCTTCTTAGGGCTGCCGTTAGTGGAACTTGACGACAACGACTGAGATATCAACCGATCTGGGCGGGGTTGTTGTAGCTGCTACAACAACCACACAGCACGGAAACCGCGTATTTGTAGTAGTATTTGAGAAAATATAATGGTAATTCTCTAGTGTAGGGTAACAACCCCTAAAAAAGGTCCGGAAAAGTCGGGAGGGGTACCAAACGACGCGTTTCGGCCCCCCTATTAACAATCTGGAGGGGGAGGGTTAATATTATTAACCATTTAAAAGTTATAAACAAAAAACTTTTGTTAAATTTCGTTGTTTTCTATGAGCAAATACCACGTCAAAAGTGCACTAAATAACCAGTTTACACTTTTAAAACACTATTATAACGTCTCCGGTTATAATTTTATGCAAACCAAATCATTTATTCACTTTTATTTTATATATTTCGTTAATAAAACAGAGTAAACAAACTTTGCGCCTGCCAAAATTATTATAACCTCAAATCGCTGGTATTGCCACTTTATTTCACATTTCATTTGCGCTATTATACTCAGTTTACACTATACACTTCTTCTTCTTCTTGTTTTTTTACGTTCACCTAAATAAGATATTCTAACCAAAATATAATAGCAAATTTCGCCATACCATGGCAGCGCTACTTTTATGGTTTACAATTATTTTAGCTGTAATTAAAAGTAAGCGTCATGGAGTGCCAAAAGTGCGATTTTTTATTAAAAATTTTCATCATTTATCAAAGTATTGATTTTGATGGAAAAAACGCCGCAGGCGAAAATATTTAATAAGAAATCGCGCGATTTTTTATTAAAAATTTTCATTATTTATATATATATTAAACGAAAGAAGGGTAATTCTCTAGTGTGGGGTAACAACCCCTAAAGAAGGTCCGGAAAAGTCGGGAGGGGTACCAAACGACGCGTTTCGGTCCCCCTATTAACAATCCGAAGGGGGAAGGCTAATATTATTAACCATTTAAAAGTTATGAACAAAAAACGTTTGATAAATTTCGTTGTTTTCTATGGGCAATTATACCGACAAAGATTCACTAAATCACCTGTTCTCACTTTTTAAACACTATTAAAATATATAATTTAACTTATTTATTAAACAAACACATAGTTTTATCAACCTAAGATAGATTATTTTGTTATTAAAAAGAACTTGACAATCTTTTTGAACCGAAACGCGAGATTCCAAAATAGCTATAGTGCTGCCACTGTATTAGTATTTCGTAATAATTCACTTTTCCTTATAAGGTGTGTGCACTGTTCAAAGCTTTTCGGTATCTTCTTTCGTTTAATATATATATAAATAATGAAAATTTTAAATAAAAAATCGCGCGATTTTTTATTAAAAATTTTCGCCTGCGGCGCTTTTCCCATAAAAATCAATACTTCGATAGATAATGAAAATTTTTAATAAAAAATCGCGCGATTTAAGGGTTGTTACCCTACACTAGAGAATTGCCGAAAGAAGATACCGAAAAGCATTGAACAGTGCACACACCTTATAACGAAAAGTGAATTATTACGAAATACTAATACAGTGGCAGCACTATAGCTATTTTGGAATATCGCGTATCGGTTCAAAAAGATTGTCAAGTTCTTTTTAATAACAAAATAATCTATCTTAGGTTGATAAAACTATGTGTTTGTTTAATAAATAAGTTAAACTATATATTTTAATAGTGTATAAAAAGTGAGAACAGGTGATTAAGTGAAACTTTGTCGGTGTAATTGCCCATAGAAAACAAGGAAATTTAACAAAAGTTTTTTGTTCATAACTTTTAAATGGTTAATAACATTAGCCTCCCCCTCCGGATTGTTAATAGGGGGACCGAAACGCGTCGTTTGGTACCCCTCCCGACTTTTCCGGACCTTTTTTAGGGGTTGTTACCCCACACTTGAGAATTACTAAAATAATAATAGTTGATAACGTCATTTTTTAATCCGTTGTTTCATTCACACACATGGTGTCATTCCGCTTCATTCACATGGCGGCGAAAAAATGACGTCACGGCGAAAAAAACTTTTCTCGCACACCTTCCTGCGTGATCTTTATTCGTTCGATCATGAAATAATGCTGCCAATTTTTGTTTCCTGTAAAGCTCGGAACACTTTGACGACAGCAAGCGACAAGCAGCATCTGTCAAATTTTAAATACACACGTTCTTACGGACACAATTATTTTGACGACAGCACGACATCTTGGCTTAAATCTATTTCTAATTTTGCCGGCGACAATGAGTAGATGTAGTGCTGCAAAATTAAATTGTCGCAAAATTAATCACATATTCTTGATTGTTCATGTTTTTCTTATTTACTTAAATAAAAATACACAATTTGTGAAATAAATATACCAAAATGTAAAACTTTAAAATCAGCTGTTTGCTATGTCGCTGAGGTCTTCAATATGTTTAAGAAGCTGGCTTCAAGGCGACATTTGTCGACAAAATGATGTCGCTGTCGTTACGTCGTGAAGTTGCAGTCGTCAAAGTGTTCCGAGCTTGAATCAATACGTGCAAATGCCAAAAGCGCTGGGAAGGAGAGTGCGCTATCAATGAAACGATAGTGGCGATAGTACTAAAACTATCGATAGTTATTTCAAGTGAGCTGACTATCGATAGTATCGTCGATAGTTTGACAGCTCGGGTTCATGGCTCTAACCTTTTCTAATAAAATACCGAAGATGGCATCAAACAAGTATGAGTTCAAGTTTATAACTGCTTTTTAAACAAAAATATTGCAGAGGCGAATGGTGAAGTGTATGGTTTCACAACAGTCGACAAAAAGCTGTCGAATTTTATTATAGTTGGGGCTGAGTAAACGTGGAGTGCTGGCAAAGGCAATAATGACATTTATACGAGATCCTTGCGGCATTGTATGCCTGGTCATCACCTACGGCGCAGTTATGTACGCTGACTATGTTGTCCTCCGCTGGATTATTCTGCTGACCATGGAGGCGAGGTAGGTAATTTGATAATCGACATAGTCATGCTTAAATAATTTTCCACTTTCCGATCAGCATTTGGGCACCAGTACATGTCATTATGTTTAATACGATAATTTTTCTCTTGTGCATGGCCCACCTGAAAGCTGTACTTTCAGACCCTGGACGTGTACCATTACCTGCGAATCGCATAGATTTTTCAGACCTTCATACTACAGGAAAAAATGAAAACGGAGTTGTCGGCGAGTGGTATGAAACTACATACATACATTATGTGTGTATATTAGAGCGGGTCGATTTGTAGGGGATCAGAAAAACGCATAATGCGGAAAATAAGAATATTATAATTTTTTGGAAAATGGGCGTAGCCACGCCCACTTATGATTACATGTGTATATCTTGGTAGCCGCTTCACCAATTTCTCCCAAACTTGGCACAGTTGTTGATCTTGGTACAACATACCAAACGATTGAAAATTTTTAAATTCGGACCTTAACCACGCTCACATCCTATATAACGGTTATTTAGAGAAATACGAAATCTTCGATAAATCAGTAAATACTGTAGGCTCATTCTATTTCAATTCATGCAGGGTGAATGGGTTCCAAATTCGAAATACACCTTTAAAATTTTTTAGGAAAATAGAGAGACACGTATTCAAAAAATAAAAAAAGGAATTCGCTGAATTACCAGCATCTGAATATTTTAGGGCAAAATGTGGGGGTGGGGTTCAGTAGCGCTCACAACTATTTCGGGCAATTCCGTCCAAAGGGGTGGCCCGATCCAAAAAATTCCACACACTTATAGTCAAGGGTCTACGCATTATTTTAACGCTCACTTTTGTAAATTTTGGTCACTAATTTATTTACCAATTGGGTTTGAAATATGTCCTCTTTTGTAAAATTCCGAAATTAGCGTACATTTATCACTCCTATTCTCCTTAAGGCATCCACTTCACCAATACATTTTTGTATTCCCCTTCACTTTATACTTCACTCGATTAGTTATAACTTGCTTTGCGACTTGTAATATAAATCAATTAATCGCAATTCATTAAATAAAAACACCTTCAAAATCACGCGTCTGACTTGGGTTGCATATGCAAATTAAATGGCGGAGTTCAGCTGTCAAACTCCAAAATATGCAAAAGAATGAGAGACAAAAGAAGATAGGATATAACCCAGTAAGCATTAAAAATATACAAAGGTGTTCTCTGCAAAAGGTGTTCAGCCCCCCTTCTTTGGCAACACAGAAAGGAGAATTCTACTGCCTGAGGGTTATAATCCCTAAGTGCGGCCGAAGGCCGCCTACGCAGAATGGTGTCCTCTGAAAAGGTGGTTCAGCCCCCCTTCTTTGGCAACACAGAAAGGAGAATTCTACTGCCTGAGGGTTATAATCCCTAAGTGCGGCCGAAGGCCGCCTACGCAGAAAGGAATTCTACGCAAAAATACATTTGTTAAGAAGAAAATTTTTTTTATAAAAACTTGTTTTTTCTATTTTCAATTAACTTTTTTATTCTTTTTCTGTTAGTTGGGTCATATTCCACTTCAAACTGCTCAGTTTGCCTAAGTTTTTTCCCCTTTTTCAAACGGTTCCCTAGGGGCCTGTGGGAGGAGCCCAAGGGGGGAATACGCCTTTTTAGAAAGCGGGGACTGTCCCCTTTCTAGTGGGGAGGGTTTGGGGGTCTCCGCCCCCTTGACCCTCCGCCCCTACCCTAAAAACGATGTGAGCGCTACTAAACATTTCCCAAATGTGGTTTTGGAGAAAAATCGCTGAATTTTTTTTTTTTAAATTACTTTTTTTAGAAATCAATATTTTTCAACTCTGTTTTTTGATTGTAGAAGTGATTTCGAAGCTCTATATTTGCATACCCGAAAGTTTTAAAAATTAACAAAATGGCCGTTTTTGGAAATATCAAAAGACTAAATTTTCTCAAAAACATAATTTTTTATTTTCTTGAATATTTGTTTGTGGTTACTACATAAAAGAGAACTTTCCAATCGGTTGGATACCCGTTAAAACACCTCCAAAATCGTTTTTTTCTGAAAATAAGAATATTCAGTATTTTGGGTAATGCAGCGCCATATATAATTCATGTATGTGACACGTACAGTTAAAAGGGTCCTACGGTCAGAAAAAATCGGGTTTCACTTTTTCATCGACTCTTATAGTAAACGGGCCACTCTTTCCAATGCTACCGCAGATTTCTAGCTGCATTAGTTTTTTCACAATTTCACTTCAAAGTTAGGTACTTTCGCAAAAAAAGTACGAAAAAATCAAATCTGACAAACTATTCTGAAATTTATCAAATTCGCTTGAAACTCGCTACTCGGGGGGGCTTTCGAACATCGGATACGTAATCACTGACCTCGTTTTCGGTATCAACGATATTTTTGAGTTTCACACGAATCCGAACAAATTTTAAATTTTTCCGCCATACTTGATCCGCCATTTTTTTTAACTTTTAAAAACGAACATCGGATTCGTAATCACCAAAAACCCCCGGGGTCAAAGGCGTTTGACACCGTCTGCCATTCCACGCTACTAGAAGATAT